ACAGCAACAAAACAAAACAAAAACTTTTTTAAGAAGTGCAGGCTTCATCTATGTTAATTTTTGTGAATTCAGCTCTAATACTAATTTAGCTTTTATATTTGTCAAGAAAAAGTAAATATCCTGTAAAAGTAAGTATCCTGTAAAGTAAGTATCCTGATATATATACTTACTAAAAGTAAGTATCCTGTAAAGTATATTTGTCAAGAAAAAGTAAATACCCTGATACTTTGCAATCATTTAAAAAACAAAACGACTAACTTATTTACAAAAATTATACTAACTAATATATTTACAATAATTCCAACCACCCATCCAAAATAATTAAGCAAATAAATATTTCCATCAATATTAATTTATTAAAAAAATTATTTTTAATTATTTAGAATTCATCTAAAACTGAGTGCAATGAGGTATTAAAGAAAAAATGGCTTTTAAAAGAAATTCCTTATTTAAATACTATCCAAAAACAAAATCACAACATAAAAGAACGCAAAACATGATTCAACCTACCCTATACTTAAAGTTTTGCCGCCAATATCGCAAAATATTTTCCTTAGCCTAATCGAAAAAACTTTTAGTATCTAAAAACTAACGCAGTAGATGATAAAATTTTAGATAAGTTGAGCATGTTAACATGGCATTGTTTTTTGCAGCTATAATATAATAATATTTATATTTATTTTTGCAAATTATTAAAATTTAGTTTTTTCTCTTAAAGAATATGAAGATTTTATTTTCAAAACGCAGTGAACGCCATTTTAAAAATTTTTTAGAAATTGAGTGGTTTAATTTTAGTTTATAAGGACCTAGCAGACATTGTGCCCAAATATACAGGGTGTATACTTAATTTCTGACCCCCTATATCTCGGTTTAAGAATACGGTATTTCAACACATACCATTTTATTACTGTCATATCAATTTAATTAGACAAAGAATATATTTTAATAGTCAGTAATCAGTATTTTGTCCATTTCTTTCTATGCATTGGGTAATTCTCCTTGGCAGGTTTTCTACTAGGCGAAAACACTCTTCTTGCGTAACGGCAGCCCACTTCTTCGTTCCTCCGTTCAACACCACTCTTTCTCCTCCGTTCAACACGTCTGATCAACTGTTCACAATTACGAGGTCAAGGATTGTGTATAAAGTAATGTAATAGTTTACATTACTTGAATAGAACATTGTTTACATTCGCATTATCAATAAAATATAATGACCAAACATTAAATACACATACTTGTTCAATATGTTAAATAAAATTAATCATTAAAACTTATTCAGGTCTTTTAAAGTTTATAAACTTACCATAACATCTTTATAAAATGGATATACCGCATTTTGCTAACAAGCTTTAATTGGATATACAGTATTTTGAAAATAAATGCAAACTTTTTGACAAAAAAATAATTTTTTTCATTTATTAATATTTTATTTATTAACATTATATAATATACTTTATGTATATATACATTAAGAAACAATAATTTTTCCAAATATACAAGACAAGTTGGTGTGGCGAAAAAAGACAATTATCTAAATACCACAAAAATGGATATACCGCATTTTGAAAATACACTCTTCATATAAAGAAACAGTACATTAAAAAAAAATGCCCTGAAAACATTTAATCATTATCTCTGGTATTTAACTGAAGAAATATCCCATCTTTAACTACTTTCTGATAGGTATCTGGTTGTAATAAAACTAAAATTGCTAAAACAACAATTGTTTAAGAATTATTCTTAAAAACATAAAAGAAAACTTTGAAAAAGCTTTTTTTCCACAAGTTCCTCTTTTGAAGCAAAGTAATAGTTTGACTGATTTAATTTGAACAAAATCAAATTTCTAATTTTATTCGGATATTTAAATGAGAAGGATGGTTGGTTGGTGAAATCCTTAAAATTTTGGAAAACTAACACACATTAAAATCACATATTTGAGCATAAAAAATCACTGAAGTCTGTAAACGATACAGCAGAACGAGCTGTTAAACTAATTCAAGATTATGGAATATCTATTACAAAAGATGACGAGTAGAAAGATTTCTTTTACGTGCAGTAGAACACCACCAAAAAGGTCTTCCTCGCATAATTAAACTAGCAGTTCAAAAACTTAATTTTTAAAAATATGTTTTAAACAATCTCTTCTTAATATAATTCTTCCAGTTAACGTTGAATGCGCATGGTTACGTCTGTTGTTCAATCTTAATTACGGTTCTGTATTCTGTAAAATACTCGCTAATAGTTTCTATTCTACTTCCGAAAATTCACGAGGCAAGCAATAAACATGGTGTCAGCTTTTATATTTAAAAATAAAAGTTTAATTTTTATAATAAGATTAATTTGTATTTACTTTTGAAATGTTTATATTAGATTTTTTGTTTGTTTATGTTCTAACTATTTTTTATTTTGTTTACTTTGCTTTATATATTTGCTTTTTTAGTATGCATTCACGCATACTTTTTTGGCTTTTCATAAATATTTCATATAAAATAACTTTTTATTAAATAAATGAGTTTTCTTCATAAATGTAATATATAAATTCGATTTTGTATGTTTTTTTATTTTATTAAGATATTTGCAGTAATCATTTGCATATATATTTATTTATGTTTTAATTTGTTTAGCTATTTAGATACTTTAGATTTATTTATCTTTATACTATAAGCATTATGTATGTATTTACATTTCTATTTATTTACATTTAAATTAAAATAAAATTTACGTTTCCCAATTTGTGATTCAGTTGTTGAATCAAAGAAATTGCAGGGGTTTATATATCACGCGCACAAATATATATATATATATATATATATATATATATATATATATATATATATATATATATATATATATATATATGTATATATATATATATATATATATATATATATATATATATATATATATATATATATATATAAATATATATATATATATATATACATATATGTATATATATATATATATATATATATATATATATATATATATATATATATATATATATATATATATATATATATATATATATATATATATATATATATATATATAGATATATATATATATATATATATAGATATATATATATATATATATATATATATATATATATATATATATATATATATATATATATATATATATATATATATATATATATATATATGATTTTTTTATCTCTTTATAGGTTTTTTTATTTACTTGATCTCTTTAACGATATGTTTTATAATTGATCTCTATAGATATATTGTTTTAGCTACTAGAAAGGAAAATGTTTATATTAGTTTTTCGTTTAATTTTTTAAGGAAGATTTATTCTTAAAATTTTAGTTTAATTAAATTATTTTATCCTATTGTGCAATTTAGAGTAGTATAAAAAGATATAAGAATTTGAATCAGTTTGTCTTCTTTTTAATAATTATGTTTGATGAAAGCAATGACATTAAAATGGGTGATAGGCTAGATGATGTTTTGCATTTACAAAATAATGTTAATGCTATAAGGCGTGTTGAAAATAATCATCGCTGAAATGAAAGAAACAGACTTAGGCGAGATGAAATTATTTTTATATATATTTTATTATTATATACGAAATGTTAATAGAGCTGGTATACGAGTTGAAGATAACTTGAACCCAAACATTGAAAGGGTGGTTAAGCGAGTTGAAAATAATCGTCTTAGGAATGCTCGAGATAGAGCTAAACGAGATGAAAATAATCAACTACAAAATGTTAGAAATGTGCTCAACAAGCAGAAAATAATTTGAACGTAAATGTGGACAATGCAGTTATGCAAATTATAAATAATGATGAAATTAATCTTCGCCAAACTGCTAGAAATGTTGCTAGACCAGGAAGAATATATTCTATAGCAAGAGGTATTACCTCAGCTATTACATTATCTGGAATAGCATGTACATAAATGTAATTATTTAGGAAAAATGATTCAAATTTGTCAGCACTGTGGTGCTAAGAAATTTCCAGATGAAACACATTTTCTATGTTGCCATAATGGTAAGGTAGTTTTACCTCCACTTCCACCATTTACACAAGCTTTACAGTATTTGTTTACAGAGAGTTATGTTGATCGTAATACTAATGTTAAGTTTTTGAAACATATTCGAAATTATAATGCATGTCTTTCTTTCGCTTCTTTTAAAGCAAATGTAGTTCAACCAATAAATCATGGGCCTCCATGTTTTAAAATATTTGGCCATATTTATCATTGTATAGATAATATAGGCCAGATCAAGATATTCCACCAATATATTCTCAACTATATATATATGATCCACTTGCAGCAGTAAATTTTAGAGTGCAACAACGTGGTAATGATCTTTGTTTACGTGATTTAATGTTTCAATTGCAAACTGTATTTACTGAACAAAGTCCATTTGCTCTTGCATTTAAAAACATGACTGAAGTAGAAGATGAAGAAATTCGTCAAGCAGCTATAGAAGGTTGCTCAGCTTCTGTTAGAAAAACGTCTTTACTTGAAGGACGTGATAGACGTTGCTACCTTCTATAATCTACCTTCACATGGTGAAGTTGCAGTTGTATTTGCTGGTGAAGATGGTGCTCCTCAAACTTCCAGGGAAGTTGTTGTTTACACAAGAGTTCAGCGTTTTAAAATTGTATCAGTTATGTCAGCCAACTTAGATTCTATGATTTATCCTCTTTTTTCCAAGGTTGGCATAATCAGTTAGTGCATAACCCTGAACGTGCCACAATAGTTAAAAATCATGTTACATTATCTCAGTCCTACAATTATAGCTTTCTGTTAGGCAATTTTTCTGTTCATTATTTTATGGCAGGAAATTATTTCAGCAATACGCTGTAGATGCATATATCATAATTAAAGGCCAGCATCTTGCTTTTATCAGAAATAATCAAAATAAAATAGGAAGCGAGCTGCACGATGTCTTACACGAACATGTTAACAACATTGCGAACGAACGTAACGTTAGACCAACACGTATAGTTGTTTTGCCATCATTTTATGGCAATTATTAAAAAGTATGGTAAACCAGATCTTTCTATTACTTTTACTTGCAACCCAAAATGGCGTGAAATAGCAGAAAATTTATATCCGGGTCAGACTGCGAATGATAAACCTGATTTGGTTACTCGAGTGTTTAAACTCAGGTTAAATAACCTCCTCAATGATATATTCAAACATGGTGTATTAGGAAAAGTTGTAACGTATGTTCAAGTTGTCGAGTTTCAAAAGCGTGGTTTGCCCCATGCCCACATTTTACTTCATTTTGCTAATAATGATAAACTTGAAACCGCACAGGATATTAATAATTTAGTATGTGCAGAAATTCCAGATCCGATTGGTAATCCTGAACTTTATGATATTATTAAAACTTGCATGATTCACGGCCCATGTGGAATACTGAATCCTAATTCTTCCTGCATGAAAGATGTCGTGTGCTGCAAAAGTTATCCTAAGGAATTTAATGCTAACACAGTAGCCGTTCACAATGGCTATCCACGCTAGAGGTGTCGTGAAAATGGGTTGGTAATTAATATTAAAGGCAAAAACGTAGATAATCGTTGGGTGGTACCTTACAATCTTTGGTTATCTAAGAAATATCATGCCCACAATAATATTGAAGCTTGCATGTCTGTAAAGACTGTTAAATATTTGTACAAATATATATATAAAAAAGGCACGATTGTGCAAATGTTTTGATAAATGAACAAGTTTATCACGATGAAGTGAACACTTTTTTAGATTGTCGTTATGTTAGTGCACCTGAAGCACTGTGGCGAATATTTGAGTATTCCATAAGTCATATGTCACACACTATTATTCATCTTAAGGTTCATCTTCCTGAAAATTTTAATATTATTTTAATATTTTTTTTACTAATTAAACTTAAGTATAGTTAAACTGCTTCATTACGCAACTATCATAATATAATGATGCAACACGCTTTTGTTAAAAATAATTAATTATTAGTTTCATTTACTAAACTCAATGCATTTTAAAAGTTACTATAAGCCAAGACAATTTATTTAGCAATTTTTATTCATCAATTTTTTTTATTTTTAATTTTTATAGTTTAGCTTCTTAAAGTATTTTATATTTTGCTTTTTAATTAAAATATTTTAAATCCATTGTCTTAAATTAAACTAAAGTTCGCTAAAAGCCAACATGACGTCATTAAACAACACAAATAAACTGCTGCATCATGACAACAACTGAAGTATCACAACAGTTTACCCAAAGCAGGTAAATTGTTTTCCAGTAATTTTTTTTTTTTTTTATGTTTACTTATCTGTTTCAATTTTTATTTTAGGTTTGTCATTTGACGCATTAATGCAATATAAAAGATCAAAGTTTACATAATTTTTTAAATTTGTTATACACATGTTTGATTGTAAATTAATTTTTTTTTGTTTGAAACGTATTTGTATTCAATTGCTTAGTTATTTATAATAAACTTATTTATTTTTAATAAATTTATATTTAGTTGTGTGCATTTAAAGTTTTTAAGACAACAATTGTATATATATATATATATATATATATATATATATGTATATATATATATATATATATATATATATATATATATATATTATATATATATATATATATATATATATATATATATATATATATATATATATATACATTACCATATTGTTTATTATTATTATATAATTATATTTACAATGAGAAAAAAACCATTCATATATAAAAATTGGCCGGAGCAAGAAGAAGACATAAACTGTCTTATCGCCAAGCCCCGTTTACATTAACGTCACAAAGTTACAAGTTAAAAACTAAAAGGTTAAAAATTGAAGTACAATACAATATTAGTTCGACAAATCTAAGACACAAGTAATAAATCGAATAAATGTCATTTGTCTGTTCAAAATTAATAGTATATATATTTTTTATTTTATTAAGAAATAAACAAGATACGCAAGACAATAGTAAATGAGTAGTGATGACTTTTTCAGGTTTAATTATTTTAGGTGATTTTAGAAGAAATCTTTAAAATCGAAAGTTTTTTCTAATAGAAAACGTTTAGATTCTCTTTTGAATTGTTCTAAGGAGATGCCTCGAAGAATTTTATTTTTAATTATATTTTTTAAAAAACCTTTCCATATAAATGGTCCCCGCTATTGAATTTGAAATGAATTGAGTTTTAAATAAGATTTTGGAATAACAAAATTATCAGATGAAAATTTAGTGGGATATTTATGAGATATTTCGGTAAAGTAAGACTGAAATATATTAGGAGATAATGCATGTTTTGTTTTAAACGTAAATAGCATTACTCGGTATATATTAAGTTTGTAAATATTAAGCATATTAAGTTTCTTTAAAAGAGATTCACCATTAACAGTTCTGTTAACGCCAAAAATAATCCTACAAGCATGTTTTTGTTTGCTATAAATTTTTTTGAGCTTCCCATAATTGGTACTTGCCCATGCAAGATTACAATAGGAAAGATAACTATGAATATATGAGAAATATATAATTTTTAAAGATTCCGTATTAAGAAAAGGTTTAACTTTATATAGCATTAAAATATTTTTGGAGATTTTATTTTCAATAGATCTAATATGATATTTCCATGATAAATTTTCATCTTATATCACTCCTAGAAAGTTAATAGTTGACTCTCTTTTGTTCTTTTTTGTTCATAAAGAGATCAGGTAGTTTTAAAAAAAGGTTATCACCTTTACTAAGTTTGTGGAACAACATAAATTTAGTTTTCCCAACATTTAATGAAAGTTTATTATTCGTAATCCATTCATTTATTTTTAATAACTTTTCATTAAAAATTCTAAACAGATCTTTAATATTTCTGTTAGAGTAAAAAAGATTTGAGTCATCAGCAAACACAATAACGTTTAGAATTTTGGATGCTAAATACAAATCATTAATGAACAGTATGAATAATAAGGGCCCTAAGATTGATCCCTGGGGAACAATACAAGTTATGATATGTTTTTTTTCTTCATTTTCTGTATATATTATGTATTGTTTCCTGTTTGAAAGATAACTTTTAAACCATTGTAAGTTATTGTTTAATACTCCATACATTTCTAGTTTTTTTATTAGAATATCATGATTAACAGTGTCAAATGCTTTTGACAAATCAATAAAAACTCCTAATGTATAGCAATCATTATTGAACCCATTGGATGCATAATTTATTAGATCGACTACTGCATGGCCCGTTGAATGAATTTTTTTAAACCCAAATTGTTTATTATACAGAATATTGTTCTCAGTTAAATAGTTGTTAAGTCTATCATACATAATTAGTTCTAACAATTTAGAGAAACATGGTAAGACAGAAATAGGTCTATAATTGGACATATTTGTATCATCGCCATTTTTAAAAATAGGTATAATCTTAGCAATTTTTAATTTCCCCGGTACAATACCGGATTTTAAAGAAAGATTAAAAATGTGAAACAGTGATGGTTCAATAATATCAAACACAGCTTTAACTACATTTACGCTAATTTTATCAATGCCCGCACATTTATTATTTTTTAGACAGTTGAAAGCATTGCGCATCTCACTTAAGTTTAAATTAGATTCTATCATAGATGTGTTGGGTGTATTTATATAAGATTCGAAGTTGTTTGAGTTGGTTTTTGGAATTTTATCAGCTAATTTTGGTCCAATATCAAGAAAAAATTTGTTGAGCTTGTTAATTATGACTTCTTTATTATAAATTATATCCCCGTCAACTAAAAGTTTTTCTGGCAATTTATTATTTTGACATTTATTTGTACCGATTATCTGCTTAATTACATTCCACGTCTTTTGTGTGTTTCCATGTGTTTTTTCTAGCAATTTTGCATAATAATTTTTTTTAGATTGTTTCTTTATTTTTTCAAACAAGTTTTTATAATTTTTATATTTTGTTTCATTTTTATATGTTTTATGTTTTAAATATTTTTCATAAAGGTTTTGTTTCCTCTTTGATGATTTGAGTAAACCTTTGGTCATCCAAGAGTTTAAAAGTGATTTAGGATTTATAATTTTTTTTATAACTGGAAATGCCAAATCATAGTATTTACAAAACTGCGCCAAAAATAATTCATACGCATTATTCACATCTTGCGATTGTAATATTAGTTTTTTTTTGTTAATGTTTATTTACCTGTATACTTAATATTAATAGGTCGGTTAGTCGTGGGATATTTAACAACACAGCTTAAGTCATTTTTACTGATTGAGCAGGAAAGTTTTAAAAATTACTTATTATAATGATTTTAGGAGCTTATTAATTATATTTTACTTAAAACCTGCCATTTGATTAGTTAGACTTTTTAACTTTGATATATGGTTTAACATGGACAAGTAGCTTTTTAAAAGTACATTTAAAAGTTATAATCGTAAATTTTTGACTTGGACCTTGTTGCTAAATAAGCGATGATATGTAAAAGTTAACAAAACTAAATCTCTTTTATATCCTCTTTTATATATTCGATTATTTATTCTTCTTTTTTTTTTGTTTGTTTGTTTGTTTTTGCAGAAATTTTGCCTGGTATGCCGAGAATAAGCATGTGCGTAGAAAATGTCCTGAAAGGAGCGCTAGATATAAAAGGTGGTTATAAAAGAAAATAAAATATCGTAAAAAAATAAACTATAGTTACAGCTTGCAAGATACTCTTCAGATTCGTTTTTTGAAATGTTTTAAATTGCGTATACTTTTAACTTTGTATTCTACTTGTGAATTGCAATACTTGCAATAATATCTTTTTTTTTATGTTTATATTATCTAAAATGTAAAACTATGTTCCTAAAATCCTACAAAACTCTGTGATAACTAGATAACGTTCATAGCTTAACAAATGGTTTTTGAACATTTTAGTAGACGTCTTTTCTAGACTAAATATACGCTAGGATATTAGAATCGCTTCTTTACGCAATTGAAATATAATTTGAACTCCTGTAAAACGTCTTAAGACCAAGTTACGCTTATTTCGAATAGTTTCTTAATTCTGTATAAGTATACTTAAAAGTAAACTTTAAAAACCGTTTTCATTAGATTTGAATATAAAGTTTTCAAAACGTACTAAATAGACGTTGTTCACCGTTTAAATTAACATTAGTTTAGAACGAGTACAAGACGCTCAAAACTAAATCCCAAAAAAATCAAGTGATAAAACGCTTTTCACATATTTTATAGAAAGATAATGTATGTTAGATTTACGACAAAAATTGGAGACATTTTTTTATAAAAATTCATTTGTATATCAAAATAGATTTTATTGTCAGGTAATCTTTTTTAATCATTTTATCGGAGCTATATAAGGAATAATATTATTTGTAATCCTTTGCAAAAAAATATTCCATTCTGGACTTTATCACGTAGCTATTCTTAAAGTTATTTATAGTAAGTTAAAACTTTATTAAAAAAATTAAAAAAAAGGTTTACTGCTGTTTTCCCGATTTAAAGTATTGCTTCGAACCATTGAAAAACAAACAATCGTCAACAACATAAGCAACTTCAT